TTATATCTATTGACTAGAATAAAAACAAAATCAATTTGGTCTCTTAAAAGCAAACTTAATATAAAGAATAATAGAGGATGAAAGGAGAATTAAAAACTTATTTTAAATGAATCATGAAAATCATTTCTTTGCTAGCAGCTATTTCAACAGTCTTAGTACATTTTGAACACTATTGAATTTTTTTCATCACTATTCACTCTTAAATTCTTTTTTTTTTTTTTGGGTCAATTGGTAAGGTGGTTAAAATGTAGAATCTCCTAATTTTGGCCATGAATGAAAATAGAATGATTTGTTAACAAAAATAATAATAAAATAATAAATAGTGGCTGTTTTTGGATTTGTTATGGGAAGGGATGAATCTGAAATGAAAAAAAAAAGAATGAATAAATAAAACAAAAAGAAGCTGAAGGTTTAAAATGTGGAACTCATGGCTTATATATTTATTTAATAGACAACTTTAGCTTTCTTTCACTCTATAGAACAATATAGCCTTTGGGTGGGTCCCTCTTAAGAAAGAGAAATTTATCATTTTATTTTCCTTTGAGATGAGTCTCTAATTTTAAAATGGCAACAAATACACAGCTGACAAGTGAAATCAATAATATATTAAAAGTTTCAAGAACATGGTTCAATGAAAAAAAAAAAAATTCTACCTAGTTTATTTTTATTTTTTAACTGGAAGAAAACTTAAGAATTATGTTAGTTCCTATATTTTAAAAACTGAATTCTAATAAATTATTAAAAATAATTTGGTTAAAAAATACATTTGGTCTCTATACTTTTACTAAAGTAACAATTTAGTCCTTGAATTTTAGTTTGTAACGATTTAGTCCATACACTTTTACTAAAGTAATAATTTAGTCTCTAAACTTTAACTTGTAATAGTTTAGTCCATATAGTTTAAAATTGGAAACAATTTAGTTCCTATCGTAACAAAATTTATTAAAATTAAGTGTTAAATTTTATCATATAACAATTTAGTCTTTCTAGTTTATAAATATATTTGGTCCATCTTTAGTTTATCGATCTATATATAAGAAACTTAACAAAAAATTTCATGATAAAGACTAAATCGTAACAAACTTTAAATTACAAAGACTAAATTGTTACCTATTAAAGTTCAAGGACTAAATTGTTATCAATTTGAAAGTACATGGACTAAATTATTACTTTAGCGAAAGTAGAGGGACCAAAAGTATTTTTTAACCAAATAATTCTTGACAGGTCACCGTTGTTAAGTTTGTTAATCTTTTAAGATACACATAAGCATTAAATCAAAGGAACTAAATTAATGATAGAGAATTATTAGACATCAAATTAAAAGTCGAGTGGATAGAATTCTTAAAGATATATCAACTAGATAAACAAAATCTAACAAATTCAAGAATCAATTGAATTAGACAGAAAATTAAGAAACTAAACTTGTAATTTAATCCTAAATTAAAAAAAAAAAGTTAGATGTTGATATGTTATTGGGTGGGGGGAAGGTTCTTACTCGGGACCAATGCCAATACCAATATCGATGTCAAGACGAAATTGAATTAGGGGAAAAAAATAAAAAACAAGAAAAGTAAACTCAAGTGGTCATGTGATACCGTGTCCCCTCAAGCCGTGTGGAAGTCTTGAGAACAATCATATTTTAATAATTTTGTTTTTTTTTTCGTTCTGTTTTTTAAAATTAAAAAAGATAAAAGATAAAATAGGGATGCGTGGAAAATGTTTATGAAACGTGACGATAAAGGGAAGGGTGAGGGCAGATCTCAGTATCTGGAGAAGAGCTGGGGACGGAGTATCTGGTCAACATATTTCTTCCTAATTTCCTAATTTCTTTTTCTTTAATCTTCCACATCATTTTTCAGTTAATTTCTTCACTTTTTACTTCATTTTATAATTATTTTCTTCACTATGATGTTGACGGAAAACAAAAAAAAAAGGGGGGAAATTTTTATTTTTATTACATATCAAACTGATTGAAATAAATTTAATTGAAAGTTTGGATTCTACTGGATTAGACCATTGTTTGCGCCTAAATTTGAACCAAAGGATCTAGATTTACAAAAGTGTAAAATGGTGCAAGAGAAGCTTGCACAAAAAAGGAAAAATAACTATCATTAAGTCTCTAGAATGTGAGGTATGTTTTCAAGACGAACAATCAAATTCAAGTCCTTGACGTTGACGTGTGGAGTCCACTCAATGGTTACGAAGCACGATCGCGAGATTCTTGGTAGGAGATTCGCGAATAGCGGGTGATCAGTTAAGAGCGGTTTCATTTGACCCCTTAGTCCGATCTTTATTTGGACAAAGGCTGGTTGATATTTCATAGTATAGTGCATCAGACTGTGGCTCAAATGCTTTTTATTTCTTGAAAATTTAACAGACTCACGTGGTTAGAGTCAGATGTCTAATTGAGAGTGGTTTGTGTTTTCGTCTCGATGTTTCTCCATGAACTTGAACGAGTGAGAAAATTAACATCACTTTATTGCTACGGATGAGTACTTTTTTATTACTTTAGTGTCTTTATTTTTCTTATGTGGTTGATTTTGTAGATGTGTTGGATGATTGTTCTGTGTTATTTTAGTATGAACCTTTTTTAACAATTTCATTTTGAAGTCCGACGTTTGAGATAAGAGTTTGAATTTAAAAGGTTGAACTCATGTTTGTCTCTAGCCTTTGTCACACTTTGAGATTTGTTAGACAAATTGATAGGTTTCAATTATATCCCACTCTTATTTCTCTAAACTTACTTCCTCGCATAGTTTTCCCTAAACTCTCTATTTAAGCTCCTACGTCTAACGTTTCTTGGCTTAAGAGGTTGAACTTGTGCCCCAAATGCTCTCTTAGTATTTTTCTTGATCGTTTATAATTGTAATATTTGGAGGCACCATGTAATGTCACCTTATTTATTGAATTAAAATTCAACTAATTTATCCCAGTATCATTCATCTCTAGCACGTCCTAAGAAAAGGATTAAAGGAAAAAAAAAGGAAACAGATCTCATGCTCGCTCTAGGAAAGCATAATCTCTCCTTTGACATATCATACATGGACATGAGCAAGTGGGTTAATTTCGATTAATTTTTAGTAAAAATTGGTACTAAATCCACGTATCGTTTAAGAAAATAAAATACTTACTAAAAATTGAGTCCATTGATCAGAAAAATGACCAACTTTACGAATCTCGACTCGGACTGAGGACGGCTCAAAGGATGAGCTGGGCAGATGACCTGCAAAACAAAACACACTCCGATAATAAAGTCAATAACTGGCCGAACTAAACTAGAGAGATAATTTAGTATTTGCATATCTGAAAATGGAGTGAATGAGTTTATTTATAGGCGACTTCCTCGACAACATTCCCGATAATGCCTTAACTACTCTTTAAGGTTGTCGAATATGTCGGAGTCTGGATCTGAGCCAATGTGAAATAGGTCAATTCATTTGAATAGGGATGACCAGATCTATATGACTTCAGCAACACAAGACGTCGGCTCAGCCGTATAAAACGAAACCGAGGTAATGAAATTTCAAGCTTTGGATAATGGCCACATATACTTCCCATCACCCAATCGACATGTGCCACGTGTATGGTGAAAATGGGTTCCAACACCATTAAACTAACACAATATTAAAAATTGAATAACTATCCGATCAACTTGACCTTATCATATTTTATGACTTACTATATTTCATTATAGATAGAGAAAAAACTAACTACATTTGATAGAATTATCTCACACCATAAGGTTTGTTTGTTTGTGTCTTTTTTTTTTTTTTGGCATAAATGACTTATCTCATTAAGAAAAAAGGGAAACAAACCTAAAAAATTTTCTAGTAGCATAGAGAATTGAGAGCTTTATAACTTGTTCGTTTCTTTTAAATTATTTGCAAGTAGCACCTTCGAAATGTCACATGAGACCCAAGACTTTGAATTCTTTCCATTAAAGAATGTGAATGCAATAAATAAACCCAACAACAATAAAAACAAAGGAAAAACCAAACTCCAATTGCAGTGAAAATTCAAAACTTTCAACCCCAAAGCTAAATTCATGTCTCTATACTCCCAAACACATATATTTTTATATTTCCATAGATCTTTATTAAGGTACGTTTCGACATGTTAAAATCACTTTTGTCATCGTCAAGATTACATCCCTTTCCATTAATCATGTTAGCTTAAAATCACTTTGAATTCATTTTTAAGGTATCACTTAGATATTGATTTTGGAAAATTAATTATACTTAAATCTATTTTTTTTAAATTACTTCATAACTACTCTCTCTATCTATACTATGAACCCTTCTTCATAAATTGTATTTTAATATCGCTAGATCACTATTAGGTTTGTAAGGAGTGCAAACAAAGTCTTACATTAATTAGAAAAGAGACTAACCCATGATATATAAGATGACAATTATCTCCATTCAAATGATTAGAGTCTGTTCTCCTTAACAACCAGCAACTGATATAGCTCGATTAATTAAAAAAAGATATATATCTTTTAAAAATAATATCAATTTTTTTATCTAAAGCGAGCATAACTCAACGGTAATTGATGTAATCAACAAGAAGATTTTGAGTATAATATGTGGAGGTAGGAGATCGAACTTACAACATGCTCGCTTTGGCCCGTGGACAGGAAGATTGTAGTCATATGTAAGTACTCTTCTAGAAAATTTCATCATGACTTGTAAATGGTCCCACTCTTATCTAATTTCCAAAAGCATTTATTACTAACTAATTAAATTTAAAAAAAAAAAAAAAGCACACGGTGTGGCTTGACTTTGAATCCTGGAAAAAGATTTTCAAATTTCAACCCTTAAACCGACATGGGACATGGCCCCTTCGCCCCACCAATCACAATTCTCAAATATGCCAAAAAGCGCACACCAAATCAGAACCTCTCCACGTATTTTCCTCTTGTTTCCTCTCTCAATTGCCATTGCCATTGCCAGCTTTATCCTCTTTCTCTCTCTCTTTCCATCCACCTTCCTTCTCTCCACTCTATAAAATCTCTCTTTCCTCTGTTTTTTCTCTCCGAACAACTTTGGACTCTGCAAAATCCCTTCTGGGTCTTCCCTAAATCTCACAAATTTTTCATCTTTCTCTGTTTTTCTCACTTGGGTTTTCGCCCATGGCTGCTTATACTTCCTGGGTGGATTCTGTTGACACTTCTCTCGACCTCAATCTCAACCCTCTCAGATTCTCCGGCGACGCTCCGGTGGGTGGTTCCTCTTCTCTTTTCTCGCACAAGGAGAAGAACTATTTGGATCTTGAGAGGAAGGTTTCTGTCAAGGAAGAGGTGGGTGTTTGACTTTTCAGAAAAGTTTTGGTTTTTAATTTCTATTCTTGAGTACTGATTTGGAATTTGGAATTGTTCTGTTTTCAGACTGGGGCTTTGATGGAGGAACTGAAGAGGGTGAGTGCAGAGAACAAGAAATTGACTGAAATGTTAACTGTTGTGTGTGAAAATTACAACACTTTGAGAGGGCATTTGGTGGAGCAAATGAACAAAAATGGGGAAAAGGAGATTTCTTCTTCGAGGAAGAGGAAGTCTGAGAGCAGCAACAACAATATGGTTGTAAATGGAATCAATGGGAATTCTGAGAGTAGTTCCTCTGATGAAGAGTCCTACAAGAAGCCAAAAGAGGAAACTATTAACAAAGCTGCTAAAACCACTAGAATTCAAGTCAAAATTGGAGCTTCTGAGTCAAATCTGGTAAGTTTTTCCCTTTTGCTGATGATGAACAAAGAAATGGAAGATGGGATTTTCAATCTAAACTTGGATTTCTCTTTTTCTTTGAATCTTTGAATTTGTAGGTTGTTAAAGATGGTTATCAATGGAGGAAATATGGCCAGAAGGTCACTAGAGATAATCCTTGTCCTAGAGCTTATTTCAAGTGCTCTTTTGCCCCAAGCTGCCCTGTGAAAAAGAAGGTAAATTTAACAGATTTTGAGCATTATTTTGATTTTTGATTTCGTCTTTTGTTAAATTCTCAAAAATGCTTAAAAGGGTTTTCTTTTACTTGATTTTTAGGTTCAAAGAAGTGTAGAAGATCAATCAATTCTTGTAGCCACCTACGAAGGGGAGCACAACCATCCACACCCATCTCACATGGAGGCGACCTCCGGCGCCGCCCGCTCCCTGAGCATCACCCCGGCGCCGCCCGGCTCCTCGGCGGCGCCGGCCATTTCCCTCGACCTGGCGGCGAAGCCCAATCCAAGCACCGACCCTAAAACCTCCTCCAATCCAAGATTCGACTCGCCGGAATTGCAACAGTTTCTCGTCGAACAGATGGCGTCTTCCTTAACGAAGGACCCCAATTTCACGGCGGCGCTCGCGGCGGCGATTTCAGGGAAAATTTTTCCGCATTAATTAATCTCGATCGGACTTTCGAAGTGTAAAATGGGACTTTTTCCTTGAGATTAATCTGTAAATACACACCGAAGAAAAAGAAGACAAGATTTGACAGGTCGTAGTAGAACTGTAGAAGATAGTCTGAAAGTTTGAAATGAAAAAAAGAAAAACGTTAAAAAAGAGTACAAAAAATGGGCGAAAACAGAGGATTCAATTTGGGTACTTGGTCGACGTTTTTGGGCCGTCGGAGGAATTATTGTTTCAAATTTGTAATGGCGAAATTCTTCAAGCAATTGAATGAATTCGATATCAATGAATATTCCCTCGCAAAGTTTTCAATTTGTCAACATTTTTTTTTTTGTTTTTTCTTCTATTTTGATTTGATGCCTTTTCTTATAAGTTATTTTTACGTTGATGGAAAGTCATTGGAATCATTAGATCTTTCCATTTTATTCCACTTTTCGTATTGTTTCACATTGAAACTAGAACCAGAATCTCTGCAAGTCAATTTCTTTTATAGTATGTTTTTATGGAGATTTAAGAGGGAATGATGAATTCTCAAGTCAATATTTTAATTTTAGCAACTTAAATTAGTCGTAACATTTGATATTGGTTAGAATCAAAGGTAACAAATGACTCAGCTCAGACATTTCGAAGATGAGGGAAGGGCCCATGATTTCGTAAATAGCTTGGCTTTGACTTGGGGATAATTCCGACCAGCGAGAAATCTATTGACATTTGATAAAAAAAAAAAAAACCATTATGCCATTGGGAGGATCTTCCAATTGTGTACACAAGTGTGGTGGATTCAGTACTAATTCGAAAATTGAAGTGTATGTGGCCGACCAGAATTGTGCATCAACAACATTAATACATTTGGAGTTATGAAAATTATACTAAATGACGTAAAATAAACATGTATTTATAAAATTATATTATTAACTGTTTTTTCAAAAGTGTCAAAAAAATGGTTTTTGGTTAGTCTCATATAATAGTTTGTAATTTATGCTAAATAAAAAATACATATTTATTTTGTGCTATTTTTGAAATTCTCTCATTAATATATATCTTGAGTAACAAGGATATATTAAGTTTTGGATCTTCGCCCCCTCTCCCGACTTAGCCACCTGCAACCAGGCTTGAAACCAAAAATTCCTATTCTGGTGTTGTTGATTTTCCTCACTACTCTTCTTCAACTAAAACAAAAGAATTGTCAAAAGAAGCAAACTAATAAACCACCCAAAAAGCCCCTAAAACTAGAATTGAAATATCCAAACTCGAGCTAAAACGAATATCCAACACAGTCAACAAAATCAACCCCTGAACAATATTTGTCCAACCACAAGAAGACCAATAATTAGCCACAAATTTTGAAAAAGTGACGATTCAACCAATCATATCTTGAGTTTGAATCTCTCCCCTCTCAACTTTCTTTATATAAAAGAAATTTTCCACTATAAGAAAAGTCTCAAACAACCCTTTAGAATTAATGTCTCACCTCTCTAAATAAAACTCTCTCACCAAAGTCTAAACCTTTTACAATATACCTCCATAACGACACATGAATTCTACTTATTTTAGTAGATGTGAAACAGCCCATTTGAATATAACTTAATATATAAGACACCTATTACTATTAGGCTTAATTTTCTTTTTGAATATTTTAATGATTAGACTCTTTACCTGAGTAAATTATATCAATGCCTCTCTAATTCCCACATACTAAATACTAATATTTAATATTCTCTTAGATAGATGTAGTCTACTTCTCAAAGACAGTAATTTTGACATTTGAATATCAGAAAGAAATCTTAGAAGTCTTGAATTGAAAATAGGAAATGTTTTTCTGTCAATGAGCAAAAGTCCACCAGTGTTCAACTGCATTATGTCCTTCAGGAATATAATAAGATTGTTTTATTTAGCATTGTCATAATACAAAGAAAATTTTTACAGATTCTGCAAGCCAAAAACAGGGTCTACAAATCCTTCTCCTAGCCCATAACTTTTGACAATGATTGAATTCCTTCTTGCTCTTTGACCTAATCAGAAAGCTTTGAAGTAAATTACCAGAACATAGAAAGTAAATTCTCTTCTGGAAAAACAAAATTCATTACCAAACAGTCCTTTAGATTTCAAGTTTCCCAAAAACTCGAACGAGAAATGCATCATAGTGAAGAGAACCTACAAAGTATATGGCAAACTCTTATTCCTAGTAGTAGTTACAGACAATTGGCAAAGTAAGTAGAATTGAGGACATTATGAAAAGCTCAAACCAGGATAACATTCAAAATTCCAAGAGCTTTGATCTTGTGGGGTGGGGGATTACCGGGTTAACGGGTACTCAGAAGCGGCCCAAACACACCGTATGTCAATCCTGTCTGGTTGTTCCAAGATTAGTCTCTCACAAATTTAACTTTGAGGCTTTGCCCGAGTTGTGGGATCTTCCTTTGATTCAACTTGCATCATAAAGACGTATCCCAGCGTCAACAGCAGAATATATTGCAAGGGTACCCAAGAAAGACAAGCAAAAATGCTCAAAATGCTTCCCACATACTGAGGATCTCTTATATATCCAAATGGAAATTCTGTCACCCATGGAATGTTCTTCCCAAACCGTACTCCATAGTAAACACCGGATTCACCCAGTAACTGATAGACCCTATAATTTGGCAGAAGACAGAAGAAAGAATTACTTTATAATACAAGCCGGAGCAACACGATATTGTTTTCATTCAATCGAGTCTGGAAAACTGCAGCAACATTGTAAAAAATTGAGGTCCAATAGTCTCATGCATCTAATCGTACTTGACCCTGTCCGGATTGGCCTGATGGTTATAGAGGTGGGTCAAAAAAATATATAGACTTTGAGAGAATGGGTTGAAACTCATGTGGCCACCAACTTAAGATATTAAAATCTACCCTACTAGGTTAGACAGGGACAGTTGTCCCATGAGATCACTTATGTATCCTTAAATTGGCCTAAAAATTTAGGATAGGACATCCTAAACTCGAAAATCTTGATTATAGTTTCTTTGCTTTTAATTAAAACACTAGCAGCCTGAGATGCTTATTCTACGCTTGTTTCTGAATTTTCAAGCTTGAGCATAAGAAACGAACATTAATGTAATCTTAGTTGTTTTTACTTTGTTATATAGTAATAATCACAAAAGATCTATCTTGTGAAGACTACCAATCATATGAGGCAATTATACTGGGAAAATGCTGTCTCTAAAGCTTGTTTGACCATTGCAAGCATCATTTTTCATCTCTGAAATCAATGAAAGAGTATCCAAGAGCAGATAAAGTTCACATAATGAATTTGAACATATATTTTAGTAATTGCTTGGATATTGCAAACCAACGAAAGGACATCTATGATAGATTCTTATTCATATTAAAAATTCCATTCCTCAACCCAAGAGCAGATAAAGCCAATTCCTTAGATTGCAATCATTCTCATCTCATTAAAGTACACAGAATCCGAGGCAAGAAAATGGCCCTTGCAACTATTGATTTCTAAATTTATGTGCTCACTTTGGCGCAACAATCTCCACACTTTCACTTTTTACTGTTGCATTATGATAGGGGAAAATCTTGATATAAACCTATCCACATCAATTTCTTTCTTCTTTTTAATAGGAAACAAACTTCCATTAACACCAAGAGAAATAAATTGGGTGGTTGAGGCATCAACTTAAACGAAACTAGCAGACTAAGTACAGTCCACTAGAATAGCATTAATAAAAAAATATGTACATAGTTACAAAAAGATTTTGAAGATAGGAAACTTTATAGAAGTACTATAAAACGCACAACTTCTAAGTTTTTTTTCACTTCCTCGAGAAGTATTCTTGAAAAGTCTGTAACTTCTACGAAGTCAAATTTCAGGAAAATCCCCTCGACACCACTTTTCTCAAAGGTAACTTTATAAAGTTGTTCAAGGCTAGAGGGGAAGCATTCTTTGGGAAAGACAGAACCAAGTTGAATTCTTATAAAAGTGATAACCAAGGATGTGAGCACTGGGAAGCACAATACAGTAATCCTTAATAGAAATGAAAAACAGTACTCGGGACACTGCAGCAGCCTCAGATAAGTCGGTCACACCAAGTATTCACTTCCTTTCTTTTGGAAAAAAAATTTTTTTTCATCAATATATGAAAAGGAAAAATGTTCAAGATAGAGGACTCCGAAAGGGTGAAAAAATAAGAGAGAGAAGAAGAGAAAAATAAAGCAGAATTAGCACAACAAGAGTACAAACTCAAAAAAGATAAAAAAGCATTCTAAACCAGGTCTCAGAAAACTGCTTCCTACTAAGCTTGAAAAACCAAAAGAACTTCAGAGCCACGACCGCTTGATGTATAAAACCTTGTAGCGAAGACCAAACTCCAAGTATTTCACTTTCTAGGACCTACTTTGGTGCAACAACTATTTCTTACCCAAAAAGTACATGGAAAAAAAAACCTTCCACATATACATCAACTGAATGGTCAATTGGAGAATGAAGAGATTGATCACGATCAGCGATAGCTAAACTTGAAGATAGAAACTGAAATCAAATTTCGTCTCTCTCTCTCCCTGATAAAGAAGAGATTGCCAATGATTCTAACCTTTATTAAATGCTAATAATCTCCTAATGAAGTAATCTTAAGAAGTAAAGAGAAATTTAATCATTAAATTCACAGGTAGGATCGCTTTTCAGACGCTTTTCAGATCATTAATAAATCGTTACTTCCACATATCCAGCTCGTAAATTTCCTCTCATCAATATAGCAAGCAGTAGCACAAAAGTTAAGTCAAGTAGGCTACTATACAGATTGAAGGCAGATTTCAGCACATCAGAGAGAGAGAGAGAGAGAGAGAGAGAGAGAGAGACCTGAAGTTCAAAAATTGGCCAAAGGCCATGAGGGGCCAGAAGTAGAGAGGCGGCGGCCATGAGAAGGAGGAGACGTGGAGGATGGAGAGGAACTGAAGCAACTTGAGAAAGATGGAGACCCGAGCCATCAATTTGCAGGGTTCGCGCCATTTCCCGCAAAAATTCGCCCATAACTGTGGACGAGTCCATAAGACGTAGTAGAAGGGAAATGGCAGCAGCACTCCAATTCCTGCGATTATGCCCATTCTGATTCTGATTCTGATATTTTTCTCACCGGAATTTCCTCCACTTTCTCGGGAAAATGATCCCCGTCGGAAGAAGGATCAAGGAGGACGAAGCCTACCCGTTTTAGTGGATGCGGACTGATATGGGCTGAGGCCCAGATGGGTAATGGGCTATTAGCCCAGGTGGGTATGTTGGGTTATAAGTTATTGGGCCTGAAATTTTGACCAGAAAAGGTTGGAATCAATATGGGCTATGGCCCAGAAAGGGTGCCGTGGGTTGACTAATTGGGCCAAAATTTGTGACCAGAAAGAGTTGGACTTTTGTATTTACCATGATTTGAAGTTTTGAAAGGATCCATTTTCATTGGACCATTCTCTCTTATTTATCTTTTTTTACTAATTTACCCTTGATGAAATTATGAACTTTGGTTTTTCTTCACAATAATAGTAATAGTAAATAACAGCTTTGATTTTTATTTCTTTACTAAAACATTTTGATTTTCGTTTTCAGTCTTAGTTCCCGATAAAATCTCAACATGAATGCAGGTAAAATTAAATTGTTTGGTTGATTGAGTTTAGGCAAAATATATTAGAAGTGCAATTGTCTCACATCCGAAAGATGAGTGTGCTCCAACTACTGACTCCATGACTTTGGGTTTCATTCATCCCAACTGAAAATATTTTAAGTAGTTAGCTGAACAATATTTACTTTAAGAGAGTGTTTTGTATAATTGAGATCGAAGAGAGAAGTTTGTATCAGTGTAATAATTTTTTACATAGTAGACTTTCTCAATTACTTTCTGCTTATTCATTCGAATGAAATAAGTGTTTTTTTACACATCAATGAAACTTAAAATATGGATGAAGCAATGTAATTATATACATAATAATATGAAATGATTACCCATTAAATTAAAAAGCGAGGACAAGAGCATTTAAGAAACAATATCAACATATTGTCACATGATCATTTTTTTATTTCATTATTTTTTTAATTATTCATTATTTTTATTTTTATTATTAAAAGAAAGGTTAAAATCCGAATGATCTATTATGCTAATATCATTTGGCCGAACAAACCATCACATTGCAAATCTTTAAAGCATTATTATTGTTATTCATATTTTAATTAATAAAAATAAGAAAAAAAAAACAGTGGAACACAGCTGTAGCATTTGGCTATTGACACACAAAACTACTTTAATTCTCAATATAACTTTATTTAATAAAAGAAATTGAAAAAAACACTTTCCAAAGCATCACTTTTCTCTATTCTCATTATCATTTACAAACTTTAAGGAGGCTTTTATTACGTGACACATGGTGCTCCACACATTATGGTGCTAATATATATATATATAAACCAACATTGTAATATTAAATTAGGTCAAATTTCATAGATTGGTCACCTTATTTTTTAAAATGTGCAATCAAAGATCAAATTAGCTTTATATTAGTTGAATAAAAGTTGTTATAACATATTGCTAGTCTTTATTTATTCAACTCTTATAATTAATGTTTCATTACTTGGACATTTTCAGTAATTAAAAAGTGGAGATTAATTGAGGGATTTTTTTAATTTTTTTTTTAGATTAATGCTTTCAATATGTTAAGGAAAAAAATGTAAGTTTTAGTCTCTAATGTTTATCCCACTTTTAATTGTTCCCGATAATTTAAGAAATTTGTATCAAATTTCAATAAGATCCAAATTTAGTCATTTAATTTGTATCTAACTAATAGTTCAGATATAAAAATGATAATATATKAATGTATTGGTTAATTTGTGTTTCAGTTATCCGAAAAAGAAAGAGAAGTTAGACCATAAAGAAAATCTTGCTAGAAAATTGTGAATATTCAATTGTAGAGATTAGGAGAGAGAGAGGAAAAAAAGTATTTGATCACTTTTTATGTTTAAACTTGGAAATAAAATAAATTGACCATTTTATATTAACTTATTTTGACAATAAATGAGAAGAATGAATAAGGTAGCACAAGTTGTTAGGAAGATCATGTCTATCTCTTTAATGTGGAATGTTTTGCCATTACCTTTAGTCATGAAAAGTTGATCATGTCCTCATTGCCACTATTCCCATCATAATTTATTAATGCATAAAACAATGGGAAAGATTAAAAGATAACTAATTAAATATCATCTTACCAATTGAATAATCCAAAGTTAGTAGGTTTGCTAAGAAGTCATTTTTGGCCTTCTTGCCTTATTTTCTCAATCTTTTTTTTATTATTATTTAAAAGACTATGAGAAATCTAAGAAAATTATTTGCATATCAAATTTTATATTATTAATTTGTATTCATCTACTTTAGAACCATCGAGACATTTCAAATGGATATTAAAATAACGTAATATCTCTATCGTATCGTTAATTAAACATTTCAATTCAGATCTATCTTTTAAAAATATTTTGGCAGACAATCATTATAATAACATAGAATGCTTAAGCTTTATTAGTATTAATTTTTTAAAAGTTATATACTGAGTTACATTCAAATTGACTAAATGATTAGATATTAACTCATTTTAACTAGTTGACATAACTAATGTAACCAAGTGAAAGGTGTTTCTATAATGTAATCGCTAATCATGATTCGAGCCTACATGCACCTATATACTCTGTCAATAATAAGTCCAATCCACTATTCTAACCTTGTATCTAATATGTATACTTATTTTAATCAGAAATTCAAATTAATTTCTTTTAGTAAAGAGATTCTTCAGTGTGAAATAGAAAGTTAACTACCTAATGGGCCTACAAATTATGAACTCCAATAATCTATTATTAATTAATAAACTATTTAAATAATATTTAATTATTTAAAATAGTATATTAACTATGGCCTAAATGTACTAGTCGACCCTTCCTTCTGGACACTTCAAACTATTTTATTTTCCTATGTTATGTTGCGAAAAACAACCAATTTTTTTAAAACAAGTGAAAAATTTATTTCTTTAAGAGTTCATTTGTAAACATTTTTTCTTTCAATAACTTAACTATTAAAGCATCTATCAATTTCCATTTTTATGAATAATATAAATCATCTCATCGGAGAAAAAAATAGTGTTAGAGATATGAAAGTGAGTAAACTCGATCATTTTAACATATTTTTAAAAACAATCCCGCTATTGTTCATCCTTCCAAACCTATGAGATTGTGAACAATAATTGCAATTTGTACAAATCGTCTCACCATCACAATTCTTAAAAAAATAGTTCTGAAACCAAAAGTAGAAAACTAACCCAAAAACAATGTTCTAGACAAAGCCCTTTTGAACTTTTTTCTGCCCCCTCCAAAACATTCTTGGCTTCTAACACACACAATGAAGCTTGATGAAGAAGAATATATACCCTAGCTAGTCAACATTGTTCTTTGCAAAAATATAAAATCTTGCAGTCGAATATTTTGCATGTCATCTTAATCAAAAACGTAAGCCAAAGAATAACAGCCACACAAAGTAAATCCCCATATTATATTAAATTAAGAAAAAAACCAGCTGCATATAATTAATATAAATGATGTCACTCTCTTACATTAATCCTATAGTTTAATTAATTTTCCTTGAACTTATAAGATATTCATCCATATGGGTTTTCAATTTCATGGATAACCAATCAGAATGTCTATTTATTTTTGGGAAAGATATAGAACATTCGAAGAAATCTGAAAAGCTAAAAACAAATAAAGAAAGGCATAATAAAATATCTAAGAGAATAAGTTAATATATATTTGGGCAAATATAATAAGTGTGACAAAAGTGCTATGTGAACAAGAATATAGAAATCTAATTAACTTTGCAAATAATTCAACTTTTTTTTCTCTTTTTAAACTTGATGGAAGAGAATAATGTGTACATGAAATATGAAAAACAAAACATGGAGAGCATTTTATGGAGATATTCATATTCAGATACAGCCAATGGAGTTCTCTTTCAGACGCTAAAATAATGCAAGTCTATAATGTTGGTGACGGCTCTACTTTTGATTGATTATCTTTTCTTTTATTTATTGTTGAAAGTTTTTTGATGTTGTTTAATCAATATACCTAATAAAAACCATATCAACTCTAGCTAGCTAGACTTTTCAGAAGAAAGAAAGAAAGAAAGAAAAGAAAAAAAAAAGAAGAAGAAAAGGGATACTCTAGCTATCTAGGAGGAATTCTCACTAGTGGCCTTGTTGAACGTGTTATAATTATCCATTTAAATACCTCTCAAGATTATAAAGGTGAAGAATGGGGGAAGAGTTGCTATCAAATCCTTCATTCTAGATTGAAATTCTCATTCTCTATCACATTCCTATTCCTTTTCTACAGAGATTATGAAGACAGAGCTTCACAAGAGAATATATTTTCTTTGCTTTCGCATCTCAACATATATTTCGAAGAATTTCTACCCCCATTCAACAGTGATCTGATTAGAGAGTCCTTTCAATAAAGAATTTCCACAAGTGTTGAGAAAAGAAGAGAATAGCAAATCTTGACATCTATTGGTACCATTGATTAAATTATTTAAAAATTATATAGGATCTAGAATGATACAGATTTACGTATGTTATTATTGTATGGTTATGAAATAGAGTATTCATACAATCACTTACAAATCATTTTTCTCACGCACCCATATTCCTTTATGAGAACAATAATCTTAAGGACTGGGTCAAATATATTTAGATAACCTCCTGAATTTAATTATGGTGTCGAATCCCAGTATAGGTATGATATTTGTGGACTATATTCACCAAACTTCGTATCAATAAAAATGCTATTTCTATATATAAATCTATGATGTATCCTACTATTAACTGATGTGAAACATTAGTGGCATTCTAATATCGTTCCCACCTATAATTGATATGTTACTTTATTCATATTCTAACATCTTAGCTTGACTTGACTCCACATCCGTACAATTTTTTCTCTCAAACTACTAAGTTTAGATAATGCCAATTAATTCACGTTTATCTCAACATGTCCCCCAAAATTTGCTTTCAGATTACTAACCGTGTTTTATTATTATTATTTTGTCTCGAAAGAAATTGTCTGTGACAACAGAACTGGTGACAGAGACCCCAAA